GATTTAACCTAAAATAAAAAATCTTTCAGGTTCATCATGGTTCATCCTAACAGCAAATTACAAAATTTGTCTGGACTTTCGCATTTGGGCCGAGAGTAGACCTAATAAAATATGCTCTTAGATTCAAGTCTCCAATGGGAGACCACGAGGTTGAAGCGATATGTCCAATTTGAGTTCCAAGGCCGAGCTTGAGACCCATATTTGGTGTATAGTTGTGTCCTACCACTTGACTACCTTCCTCTCTTTATGGAGAAAGCCTGTTATATTTCTGGATGTCATGTTAGTAGCATCTTCAATCAATTATAGTATGTTATATCATTACTATTTTTTCCATTTCATTAGCTATGTTAGCAATTTTTTTCTAGCGGTATCCATTAATGAGATAGAAAAAATTATTGACATAAAATATAATAATTGAGTAACAATATTGTTGACATAGTATCTCAAAATACAGAGTACTTTCTCCTTTTTAAGATGTTACACTCCACTTCTACAAATGCATTAAATGTTTTTATTTTATTTTTACTCATATTAAATTCGTCAATGAATATTTTTATTAACAAAGTCATAAGAAAATAAAATTTAAAAGGCTAATAATTGTGTTTTTAGTGTTTATTATTTTTTTCAGTGCCACATAAAAATGTAATAGTTAAGCGGAGATGCAGGTATTACTACTTAGTTAAAAGATTTAGAAATCAGGCTTATTTAATAATACTATATAATCAACGATTTAAATAATTTAGTGATAATTTTTTTTTGCTAAAAGTAAAGATTTTTAATTCGAATTGTATGGTATATGGATGAGATGAAACAAGAGATGGTAGAGAATTGTCTCTCGTTGTGCAACTAACATAAAAAAAATAATGCTTTATAAATATACTTTTCACATAATAACTTATTTAAAAATATAAAATTATTATTTTTAATTAATTTAAATTAATACAAAATATTTTTATAAATATCTAATGCTAGACTAAAAACCTATAGCTACAGGCAAGTAAATCTCGTTGGCTAAAATTACAAGAGCATAGTCTTGTCTTACTGTTTCTATTGGCATAGATTTTCACTCACACTATGACATCAATAATATATTTGAATTAAAGAGAATAGAAATAAATACTTTTTATTTTTTTCTCTCTCTTCATTTAAATAAATAAATTAATTAAAAAAATAAATTTTTTTTTCTCCTCCTCTCCTCTTATTTTTTTTATAATCAAATAAAAGGAAATTTTTTCCTTCTCTTTCCTCTTTTTTATTTTCCTCGATCTAAAATACTAAAAAAAAAAGTTTCATCCAAAATTTGAATTTACAAATTAAAATTACTACTTTTATTTAATTTAATAATTAATAATAATTATTATCAATTTAAATAATTTTATTTATTAAAATAAATAAAATTATTAATTATTAATTTTAAACCGTTATATTGAACCATTTCTAAATCACCCTACCTTAATTAGAGGCTAGTTTAAAAACTCATAACTACCTAATAATAGCCTAAGCTGTCAAATGGTATTTACTCCTCTAGAAGGAGGAAAAATCTTGAGATCTCGAGGAATGTAAATAAAGTAGCTAAACAAATAAAAAATGATTACCTCTCTTTATACAGCTAACAATAAAACAAATAAATAAAACTAATAACAACCTCTTTGAAAATTAAACTTCCTTTGGGATAATAATTTTTAACAAAACCTCTTTGAAAATTAAACTTCCTCTTAGATGAAAGTTTTTGACAAACATGGGTTTCGAGATTTGTATTTTTAAATGAAATGTGCAAAAAAATTAGATAAAAAATTATTTATTTTAATAAAATATTATAAAAAATAAATTTTTTTATTTTTTAAATAAAAATTATTAAAATAATTTAATTTTAAAATATTTTTTCATATAACATTTTTACGGATAAATATTTTTTTATTTTAATTTTTAAACCTTTTGTTTTAGAATTCAAAACCAAATTATCATCTTTCAGTAAAGGAAAATCTAAACGAATTTTCGTGTTTCCCTGACACCAGATTTGGTGCGAAGAAGGTACAAGAGAGAGCAGAATCAGAAACCTCCTTTTAGAAAAACATAACCCTTTTCTCCCCGTTTCTCTGATCCCTCCCTTCTCTCGCCGGAATTCCCTCGGATTCTTTCCTGTTCCAGTGTTCCCTGAATCATTGAAATTTCTGTCTGGGGGTTATGACGAGAAACTAACGGCATTGCCTTTCCTTCGTCTTTCCCACCGCAAATTTTTCCTAGTTTCGGACGATGTACAAATCCCTGTTCGTCCACCGTTCTCGCTACCATTCTATCAGCAAACTCCTCTTCTGGACCCTTCTGTTCCTCGTTGTGATTTTCTTCGTATTCTTTCGGCCGCCTCCTACCCCTGATTCCTCTCGCCGCCTTCTTCAGGATGGTCCCGATTGGAAGAGTCGGGTCCTCAAATCGGCCCGACCCAAGTCTGGAACCAACCGTCGTCGCATTGTGCTCGTCACTGGTGCTGCCGGATTCGTTGGAACCCATGTCTCCGCCGCGTTACACCACCGTGGGGACGGGGTGGTAGGGCTTGATAACTTCAATTCCTATTATAATCCTTCCCTGAAACGTGCTCGTCGCGCTCTTCTTGAGCGTGCAGGAGTGTTTGTTGCGGAAGGTGATATCAATGATGCTGAATTGTTGAAAAAACTTTTTGGATTGGTGAAATTCACCCACGTAATGCATCTCGCCGCGCAGGCGGGTGTGCGTTACGCAATGGAGAATCCTGCTTCATACGTGAAGAGCAACATTGCTGGACTTGTTAGTGTTCTTGAGGTGTGTAAGTCGGCGAACCCACAGCCTGCAATTATATGGGCATCTTCGAGTTCCGTTTATGGACTCAATACTAAGACCCCCTTCTCGGAGGAAGACAGAACCGATCAGCCATCGAGTCTGTATGCAGCCACTAAGAAAGCTGGTGAAGAAATTGCGCACACTTACAATCATATATACGGGTTGTCAATCACGGGGTTGCGTTTCTTCACAGTTTATGGACCATGGGGTAGGCCTGATATGGCGTATTTCTTTTTCACGAAGAACATATTGGAAGGAGAGAAAATAACCATATTTGAAGGTCCTGATCATGCTACTGTGGGCAGAGATTTTACCTACATTGATGATATAGTGAAGGGTTGCTTGGCTGCATTGGACACTGCAAAGAAGAGTACCGGCAGTGGTGGAAAGAAGAAGGGGCCAGCACAATTGCGGGTGTTTAACCTTGGGAATACATCTCCGGAGCCTGTTGGGAATCTTGTGTACATATTGGAGAAGTTGTTGAGGGTGAAGGCTAAGAAGGATGTGTTGCCTATGCCTGCTAATGGTGATGTTCTGTACACCCACGCAAATATAAGCTTGGCGCAGAGGGAGCTTGGGTATAAGCCTAGCACAGATTTGAAAACAGGGTTGAAGAAGTTTGTGAGATGGTACCTTGATTACTATGGATATGGGAAGAAGAGTTCTGTATAAATACACAACATTTTGTGGAACTATGGTAGTGTCATTCAAATTCCTCATTTGATTCAATTCTTAATATTTCTCATTTAAACTTACATAATTCAATTGCATCTAGGAACTTGAAGCATCCCACCTGCTATTTCACAAACTGCACCATCCTCCACTTCATTCCCTTTCTTTATTTTGATTAGTTAATGTTTGTGCATAAAGTTCTCAACGCCTGTTGGTTTTCCATAGAAATATTATGCACTAAATGATGATTTAGTTTCCTCCGCGGATACCTGATTCAAGAATTAAGTCTCTTTTATATGGGTGTAAGATGATCCTAGTTTTACCCCTCTGCCCTGTTCACTAGCTGCAGCTCAAAAGAAAGTACCAGGCTAAAATTGGTACAGAGATGGAATGTGACTCAGTAAGAGGTTGAATGTTCGCACCACGGGCACAAATTATTTGTTACTAATTGTATAACATGAAAATTGCTTTCTTTTTAGTCTATATTGGTGATGGATCTTAATAAATGAGTTGTTTACTTTTCTGTTTTCACACCATTTTATTGCTAGATAAATGATAGTATTGTCTTAGTTGCGTCTCAATCTTATTTTCCTGCTTAGTTTTTTATATTTTTTATTTTCTTACTTTGTGTACAATCACAGGTGGTAGTTTGGAGCATGATTATGATGCTTTTCTCTGGAAGAAGATTAGGTAACAATCATATTCATTTAGGTGGGGATTCTTTCTGGTGTTTGCCAGACTCTGGGTTTCATGGAGGCTGGACACGTGAAATCTCATATTGTGATTATAATTTACAAAGTTGCCAAGGCAGACAGAGTCTGAGAAAAGCCAGAGAGGCCAACTTTTAATACATAGATATTGACAGAGCGATATGCAGAGTTAGGGCCTTCATTTTTCATGTTATTCCTGACATTATGGAATTTCTGCAATCAGGATTTGATGGTTTTACTTCGTTTATACCCACAATTTTGCTTCTTTAATGCCCCTTTGAAGGAGGGAAATTTAGTTCTACTTTCCTTCATCATACTCCCATGTCATGTCTTTTGTGGGTTTTGTAAATTACTTTTAGCAAGCAGAGTATCCTTTGGGGCAGGAAATGGTTTACCGTCTCATGTTATTCAATGATGTGGGAAAATATTTGTGCTGGGAAACCAATTTCTGGATAAGGGAAACGCAAAACGACTAGAGAAATTTTTTCAGTGGTTACAAGAAGAATGTAGATTTTATCTCTTTAATGTATACTTAATTTACTTTTTCAAGTAAAGCTTAGTCTATATCTGCGGGAAATTAGATTAGAAGCATACAGAACACATATCTTCCATTTAGAGTGAAGTATCACAGTAAATAGAACTGTTAGATGTTACATCTTTCTCTTCTCATTTTTATTTAAAATCCTGGGATAACTTCTTTCCTTTAATCTCTCTTTATTTGTTTCATTATTCAAAGTTGAAATCTCTAATTTGGAGTTTTTAAGTTTTTAACCAATTGAAATACCTCTTTTGGGCTTCTCTTCTCCTTTCTCTTTAAACATATGTCAACGTTTCTTACCTAGAAGAATTTAATTGACACCAAGAATTATATTACTAACCATTTCTTGTAACTTTAAGCCAAATAACAGATTTTGACCTTAACCTTGTCATAAATATCGAATATTATTCTGACTCTATATTTGAATAAAAATGATCCCTTAATTTTTTCAAAATTACCAATCCTAATCCTATTGTTAGTTACTCTTGTTGAGTCCTAATGGAAATTTTAGTTGGCATTTTGTAAGACCCACATAGATCTTTACATGATTTTGACTGTATGGAATTTAATTTGGTGATTCTAAGTTAAGGTTTTTTAAATAAACCCTTCCTACTTGCAATTGAAAAATGCATCCTCAACCAAGACAATCCAGTGTGGCTCGAAGTTTAACTGTTTTCACAAGGATTCAACATTTTTTTTTTTAACTAGTACAAATTTTGGGCGTAGGGAGGATTGAACGCCGCACAAAGCTAGGGGATTAAACTGCGCTTCCATTTGGCCAACTAAGCCTTGTGTGAGTACCAAATAACAAAGAGTGCTAGATTTTTTACTTTTTTGTTAGCTGTTTTTGTTAGGTTCTCTTTGTATTTTGATGATGGTTTAAAACCATGATTCAAAAGAATTTAATCTATTTTTGTGCTAAGTGTGCAGGAAAGTTAATTCAAGGATTCTAATA